ATTTTTTAAGTTGAGGTGTGACATTAAGCTGTATCAAACAGTGATCGGTTAAAGGCGCAGCTGAGACACCCGCATCTACATTGTTCTGCATTATACTGTCTGAAATTAGCCAGAAATCAAAATGAGATTTAGCTGAGCGATCGAGCTTGAACCATGAAAAGGGCTGATGAAGTTGGTTCGCTAATCTCCAAGGATCTATTAGGTTAAACTCTAAACAGAAGATGTGTAAAAATGAATTTATATGATGAGACTGGATTTTAGAGAGTGATCTATCAAGCCACTCGTCACAGACAATATTGAAATCTCCTCCCACTATAAAATTGTTTGTGGAGTACTTGTGAGATAGTTCTTTTAGGTGATTGGTTATGTCAGTTAATAAGAGTTCGTTCTGAGCAACACTGTTGTAGCCATAAACATTGCATAGAAACAGAAATGTATTTTCCACTTTGAGTACACAGATTAGCCAATGGCCCAAATTGTCTTTCCTATGAGTTTCTATGTTATTACGGACGTTTTTAAATATATCAAATTTGATAAATAGAGGTTTTCTGAGTTTCTTACCCTCACCTGTGGTCACGAGCTGTGGGTAGTGACCAACAGAACGAGATTGTGGATACAAGTGGTGGAAATGGGCTTTCTCCGAAGGGTGGCTGGCCTCTCCCTTAGAGATAGGGTAAGAAGTTCAGCCATCCGGGAGGGACTCAGAGTAGAGCCGCTGCTCCTTCACATTGAAAGGAGCCAGTTGAGGTGGTTCGGCCATGTTACAAGGATGCCTCCTGGGCGCCTCATGGGTGAGGTGTTCTGGGCATGTCCCATCGGGAGGAGGCCCTGGGAACGCCTTGGTGTTTCCCCGGACAAGCTGGAGGAGGTGGCTGGCGAGAAGGAGGTCTGGGCTTCTCTGCTTGGGCTGCTGCCCCACGACCTGGCCCCGGATAAATGGAAGAAGATTGATGGATGGATAGATGGATGGAGGTTTTCTGAGTTTTTGAGACTTCTACATCATCATCATTAGTGTGAATCCTCCAAAAAAACCTAAATTAATTGTACAATATTTTTTTAAGCAATAAATAGCAAAAATATTGGTAGATGTATCAATTATGATACAAATTCAAACTCATTTATGCAAATTAATATTCATTCATTCATGTTCATATAATTTAAATAGTTAAAGTTAGTTGGTTTGAAACAACACAGGAAGTAAATATCATGGAGACACAAAGCACACGTGGATAAAGCAGTAGCAGTAAAAGTAAAGGAAGCACAGGAGTCACAAATGTGGACATCAAGAAACGTGAGAGAGTGAAACAACAGGAACCAAAACTCAACAAATATACAGCAGATTTGTTAGTATCATGACAAAGAATTATTTTTTCTCCCTACAGATTACACCAATTTTTTCATCTGCCTCAACAGAGTGTGTTTCTTGTAGCAACACACAGTTAGCATTTACATTTTTACAAAACAAAAATACTTTATTTTAAGAATATCTCTGAAGCCCCTACTATTTAAAGACACACAGTTACAATTAGAAGTGAAAAATGACATAAAAAGGAAAATAAACAAGAGACTGGAACACTAAATCCTTTAAATTGAATTCACAAAATGCAAAAGAGCTCTAAAAAATATAATATATATAGTCGTTATGTATAGTCATTATAATACCGTACCAAATAGGTAATATGAACCTGCCTACTTAAACTTAACGGGCGTGCTCTCTGTAGTAAATGTTCTTCCCTTCAGCTCTGGCTTGCTCTATTTTGGCCAAACTGCAGCTCCTGCCTCCTGGTCTAGTTTGCAGAAATCTTGCTTGATGTAGATGCCTAGCTCCTTGCACACCTGGGAATCCTTGGTCAGCTGCCAGAAAGCATCTCGATGGTGTCTCACGGTGAACTGAACTATTATTTGTAAAGGTCAACCCGCTTCTTTTTTCCCTAGGCGATGGACGGTGTCCACAGCGTTGTCCAGTGAAGAAGCCCAATGTGGTGCGATCTTGGCTAAGATGTCGATGACCTCCTTGCAAGAATCCTTGTCGTTTGTTTCTTTCCATCCCTGAATTTTCAAGTTCCAGTGGCACATGTACCATTCTAGTTCCCACACTCTCTCCTTCAGCTCCATGTTTTCTTTGTTGAGAGGAGGCATGCCTTTTTTCCAAAACAAACAGTTTAGCTTTACACTCTTTTATAACGGCTGCGTTCATTTCAGCTAGCTTGGCAATATTAGCCACCATTATCATGTTGTTACTTAGCTGCACACTGAGGTGATCAATCTTGTTTGTTAGCTTGTTAATGGCTTCTACTATGGAGTTGTTGGTCTCCACACTTTGGGACACAATTCCCTTACAACGGTGCTTTGGTGGATGTAGATGGGGTTTTTCTTTTGGCTGACGATGTTGAAATCACCATGGAGTATTCGTGGTCAGTGGCTGCGGAGCTTTTGAAGGCTACCACTTATTTGGCTGAAGCTTCTGCTTTTTCCCACGTCAACTTCTTGCCTTTTAAACGGAAGATTGGGTTCGCTCAAAAAGGCTTTAGGTGATGTACTTAGTCTTCAAAAACTATAGGCAAAAACAGCAACCTATTTGGTGGTCAAAAGAAGAGGTCTAAACAGGTCTAATGGGATTAGATTTTTTTCTTCCCACCTCTGACTTTGAAGTCCAGCTGCCTGCTTGTGTCCCACTTACTTACCACTGTTTTGTCTTCTTCTTCTTTGTGATCAAAGAACCATTGCCCTTGTGTCTTTTCTTTCTGCTCATCTCTGTGTTTTTGTCTTTCTTCATCGGCCTCAGTCCTTATCTCTATTTCTGCATCTGTGTGCACTAACATTGGTAGAGACTATCAGTAGTGCAACCAGTGAGTTGATGAGGCCCCTCAGCAGACTTCAGGGGCCACATCTCTTGCTTTGCTGGTTTGCTGGTACAAAAACACAACCTGTCTTTTAGCGACACCTGCTGGATTAGAGAGGTTGTATCATGAATATGTGACTCTTGTAATAAAGAAGATAAATACATATGTCTAAATCCCTGTAAGTAGTTTGCAGGATATTTATTCTGCTTATGACAACGCAGAGTAAAAGCTTATCCCCTGGATGGAACAAACACAGCACAGATCAAACAAAAGAAATCAGGAATTAATTTTTATTTCAGAGGTAATCAAAGACAAGTGGACTGTAACAATTAAACACACCAGAGTTCATATCCGTGTGATATAAATGCTCTAAGACAGGGGTGTCAAACTCATTTTACATCACAATCAGCTTTGATTTAAATGATCCAGTAAAACTCGCCTTTCTGTCAGTGTAAACTTGTTTAATTGCATATTTACAGTACAAGTCCATTTTTTTATTGTAGTAAACAAAAAGAATTAAAAGGAATCTGAGATCTTTCTCAGTGTGAAAAGCTGTAAAAGTTTCCAAAGCCACCCAGTCGGCTAAATTTGAAGCCTTTGCTGGGCTGAATCTGGTTCCTGGGCCTCATGGTTGACACGCCTGCTCTAAGCCTGTCTTAACCTATGCCATTAAATAATAGTCTTATTTATGGCATTGAGACCACACAAGGAAACTCTTTGGTGAGGTCATAAATCAAGTAAGCAGCTGGGTCATTTCCTCACAGACTTCTATGCAATCACATTTTTGGAAGGACAGGCTGGCCATACAATGCAGGTTCAAGGCACTTGTGCATTAGCTTGACCTGGAAGCTACATGCAGGTTTTTTTTGTTTGTTTGTTTTTGTTTTTTTACATACAATATATATGTAAAATTCTATTAGCTCACGATATTTGCCAGCAAGTAGTCAGCACTACACAATTACACATTGTTAACAGGTTTTGTTTTTTTTTAAAAAGGGTTAGGGTTAGGGTCTGACATTACAGCTTCATTTTTTTGACAAAGGTTTACAGGGCATTGTTTTAGGTGCACAGCAATAAGATAAATTACAAAAATAAAAGCAACTTTGTCAGTTGCATCAGCATGATGAGATCAGTCCCGCTCTTCTCTACACCTATATTTGAGCCCGTGATCTCCCTCTGAGTCGTAGCTCTCATAGCATGGCAGCGAGGGCCATTCTGGCTCGTACATCGTGGTGGTGTACGTGGTGATGCTCCCCGGTGACACCTTCTCCTCTCCTTCCGTCTTCCCCACCCACTCCTTCACTTCCAGCTGGACCACCGTCCGCTGGTACAACGTTGGGACGCTTTTAAAAGTGTCCAGGAATTTCAGCATCTGGTCATCCACTTTGTAGATCTCCCCGTGCACTCGGTGACCTTGGCCAGGGATGTTGAGCAGGAAAGGGATGTTGTACTCGGTGGTGATCACTAACGGGTATTTCTGGATAGTGAATGCCAAGCCAAGGTACTCGGCCTTTCCATTGTTGTTGTCGAACATGCGGTAGTTGTTGGGCTGCCCCTTCTTCAGGATGCCGTACACAAAGACCCGAGTCATGAGGACAGAGGAACAAAGACGCACCTGTGGTGTAAAGAGGGAGAAACACCTCTGGGAGCAGCAAGTATTACTGGCAAATATATTTATCCAATTTTAACTGTTACTCTGTATTATATCAGTCACTTGTCCAGAGGTGGAAATTTGATCTAATTTAAAATGATCAGACCTTCAAAATAAAAGAAAATGAAAGTCAAATCTATGTAACACTTTATTTTAGTAATCTGCTCTCCTTACACGCATTAATTAGGAAAACAATCAGCAGATTAACATTACATGCACAGATTAAACATTACTATAAATAATATGTCCTACAACACCTGCACACCTCTCCAGAAGAAAGGTGTGGAGGCTCTCAAACATCAGCACCCCCAACTGCGTCACTGATCTATGCTCTTGTGACACCTCCACACTCCCCTCTACCACCCACCAGCCCCTGCACTCCACACCACACTCGAGCTGTTACAAAATACCGTTACCGGAAGTGCAGTTTTAAAACACATGCTGTGAAGTGACATGTTTTTCTGCTTGGCTCTCAACTAAACTATCGTAAAGAAGCGCAAACCAACCTTGAATGAGCAGTAAGTAGATATTCCTTTCTAAAAAATCCGCCACCGTGACAGTTTAAGGAAGTGCGAAGGATGCCGCATACAGGGAAGCAATTTAAAGAATGGCGGAAACAATAGAGGGCGTTAAAGTGCCAAAGAAAAAAGGGCCTCGTGGGAAAGGAGGCAGAGAAAAGGCTTTTATACTATACTGAAATCCAAATGAAACAAATAAACCAGTATACATTTAACAAGATGTATCATTAATTATCTTGGATTAAGTAGAATTTATAATCTTAAGTGGAAGATAATTGATGGGTGGATTTTATTTAAATACATATTTTATTATTTCACATTTAGTTTATTATTTTCATTGTTCTTGTGCTGCAGTGCATCATAAATTAATTTTGTTTGTCAAACTCACCCATCAACGTTGGGAAAGGCATAAAAAGATATAAAATGATTTTGAAAGGGGATAAACACTGAACTGATTTGGAAAAAGGTGTTAAACAACTGTACATCATTATTTCAAATGAAATATTACAGATGAATCAACTGCTTAGTTCATCCTGAGCTGTCTTAAAAACATTATACAAGTAACTCCCACTGCTACCTGAAGAAAAAACACACAGCTCTTTCTTCTTCTTTTTTTTAAACTCCAGACTTCCAAAACTTATAGCAGACATCTGGTGTTTTGAATACAGTTGAATAAATATTAAGAAACAAACAATTGAATAATTTCTGGAGAAGGCTTGACATCACTCGTCAGGATATCCATGACCAGCATGAACAACATGCTGGTCCAGATGGTTCTGCTCCCAGTGAAAATGCTCTCACTTTCCTCCCTATGTATTACATTTTTTTTATGTTAGTTTTAATTGAAAACAAGCTGTTCTCAACAAAAAGTATGACCTGTGCACATCAGGAAATAAAGACGTGCAAATGATTCAATTCAATATATTCTGAGAGCATTCCTATATGGTTCACTAAAAATACACAGTTATGAAATTAAACAATAATCTCAGCTTAACTGATTTGCTTGGGAACGAATACAAAACTAAAATAAACCAAACATAACCTGTTAGATATCACCTATCACCCGTGTTTAACCTTCACTGAGAGGCGAGGATCAGGAAGGGGTACCATGGGCTCTGATCACCCGGTCAGCTGACAGAGGGTGAGGGAAGCTGTCTGTTATGCTAACAGGACCTGACAGCTATGAAAAAATGTAATTATTTTTGCAAACAGGCTCTCAATAAACCAGCCAGATATTCATTTTCGTTCAGACTATGCCATTACATTTTTACCTTAGAAAAACAACTAAAAAATGCATTTGGTGACAGAAAAATCATGTTCCAAAACTGTACTTACAGTTTGAGGGCACTTTCGCAGTGGTGGAGGAAACAGCTGATGTGATTTTATTCCAAATGCATTCTGGGAAACCTGCCAACCCCATGTCCACTGGATCAATCCATTTTCCAAAATCAGTCTGCCAGAGTAACCAGATGTTAGCAACTGTTGACAAGCTGCAATGATTGTTTATTTTATTTCATGGGGTGCACTGAAGCACAAGAACCAGGAAATAATAAATTAAATAGTGAAATAAATAGTTTTGTGTAAAGACTAATACGTTTTAAGTTTTTAAAACAATATTTTGAGGCAATTATTTAATTATATATTTTCATTTTAATTAATCAAAAACACATTTACATAATTAATAGATTTATTTATACATTTATATATAATTAATGATTAATTGCCAATTTTAATTATTTAAAACATGTCAGATTAATTATTTACTGACATTTTATATTATTTTGTTTTAGCATTCTTAAGACTCAGTTCTAGAAAACTGAGAGGAAATTTTAAAAAGTTTTATGAATGATAGTCAGTCAGTGGAGGTTTAGGTCAACTCAAATGCAATGAGCCGAAGGTACTCTTTCCATCTCTGTCCATATAAAACGTGAAAAATATTTTCAGGTTCATTTTAAAACATAACACCTCTGTGGGGCATAATGTGCTGAGAGGAAGAAACTTTGATCATTCATAAATGAAATACATTTGCAACCCACCAAACTACTATAAGCATAGATGGAAGGTAACGTTTTTTTTATGGTGCTGGTGTTGTCTGTATACAATTCATGTTTTCTGCTTCAGTATCTGTTGCAACAACTGTTGTACTCCTGTATTTGGATTTCAGGAAACATGCATGGATGGATCATCTCTTCAAGTAAGACTTTTCTTAGGCAGCGTTCACTATTGTAAACCACAGCCAATCAAATTGCAGGACATTGCCTCCGTGTGTGGGAAGAGGGAAGGGTGGATAAAAATGCTTTGCAGTCCCAGACATCTGGTCACCCTACAGCAATGAACAGCATATTGTTTAAAACCCGATTCATCTGAGCCCAATCTTGCATTCATAAAAAATCAAAACAGATCTTATATATTAAAATTTTTTTACATTTAAAACCAGGCAGGGAAAGGAACTTATATTAAAAGAATGCCAGATTTTTATGCCTTCCTTTTTAAAAATTTTTTTATTGCAAATATATTACTTTGAATAAAAAACTGGGTTCATTCAAAGTGCAGAAGAGGTGGGGGGCCTCCAATCTGGCCCACTACATGCTTTGGAATATATGAAGGACATAGATTTTGAACTGTTAAGTGTATTTTCACAAGTTTTACAGCTTTTCCTATGAATGTAGAATTACCCCATTACCACTGTCCTTCATATTACACCACAGTAATTAAGTAATAGATAAACAGCTAAATCATTTTAAATGACATTTTTTTCCCACTATTGACTAAAGAAATGGGGTTTTTTTTACACCGGGTCAATGGTAAAAATGAATGAATTAATAAAACATTTCTGTGAATTAATGATTTTTTTTTTAACTGAAATTTTCACCAGTCGCTGCCTGGTTTTTCCATTTCAAAGCTCTTTGTCTGGAGCTGCACTGGATCCCAGTAAACAAATAAAAATGATTACTGTGGCTTTATGAGAGCAGCAGACACATCTCATAAAAATTAAGCTGAAGTTGTCTCGGAGGAGAGGGAGGGATGGATGGAGGGAGGGAGGGAGATGTTGTTTCTTCAGACAGGCTCTCTAAAAGACGTGCTTTCCTCATTGTGTCTCACTCCTCCGACTGCAGAGTCACCAGCGAGTACTTGCCGAGATGAACTGGGGCAAATAACTCAGCCTCGGAATAAATAAAGTGCAATCCATCTTTCCTTAAAAGACACTTGACATTCAGTCTAACAGCAAAACAGCCCGCCAACTCAGCCCGGGCGAGCTGGAAAAATCTAATAAACTTTGTGCTTTGCCAGAATGAAGGGAATTGGTAACTGATGGAGCAATAGGAAATAATTTGTCTTTAAAAATACATCTCACCGTGTCTTGGTTTGTCTTTGTCTCCTTTTCTCACTCAGCTCAAGAGAGTCCATTCTGGTGATATGAAACAAAATTTTGGGGGGGAAAGCTCAGGTACAGTGGATGATATCAAAAAACTAATAAAGGGAGCCAGTAGAGGGAGGCAAGATGATATTAGAAGAAGTATTAGGAAGACATCTGATATTTCATGACAAATACAAACTGCTTAATTAATTTTGTGCTGTTTCACACCTTTTAGCTTGTGTGTTTATAGTGAAATGTGATTTTTAATACATATTTGCTGATGTAGAAATGTTTAATCTGGTTGATTGGAGGGACTGTGATGAATGAGGTCAAGACATTTGTTCCATTTGTTACCTATTGGTTCACCTCATCCTCATACGCATCACCTGTCTTCTTAACCTAGCTTCAGCAGCTCTTCTCATATCTTCATGGTTTGGCTCCTCAGCTTTATCCCTCTGTATGTGGTACAGCTCTGCATATCAAAATCAGTACCAGTATACCTCTTCTCCAGTCCTCAGGCATTCTCTCACTTTCCAAGACTGTGTTAAACAATCTGGTCAAAAAGTCCACTGCCCACCTCCTACACGTCTCCATACCTCCACAGGTATGCCACCGGGACCAACTGCTTTTCCAGTCTTCGAACTTTTCATAGCTGCCCTCAGCTCCTCCTTATAACCCCCTGAGCTTTTTGATTCACCAATGTTCCTCCATCCATCCCCTTCTCTTTCTCATTTTCTTCAGAGAGCATAACACAGAGCAATTATATTATTGTTAATAATAATAATAATAATAATAATAATAATAATAATAATTAGTATTATTGCAGAGCAATGTAACTCATGGGCCTAATTTAAATGTACTAGCTGTGGTCAAAGGAGCTTGCAAAGAAAAGCGTCTGGACTTCTTTAAGTTGCTTGAACTGTGGACACACTTTTTCAGCTAATTAAATACTAAAAAAATAACAACAAGTTATTATTATTCCTCGGCATTATAGCTGTAGTAGGTTGTTTGATTGGTCACAATTGTAACGAGTGCGCAGGCTCGGAATCTGCGCTGGCGCTGATTTGTTGATGACGGAAGATGACGAAGGCACGTCCGCAGCCTAGCAGCAGAAAAGACGGCGTAAACAAAGCAGACTGCTAGGAATCGGCTAACGCTAAGTAGCGAATATTTCAGTAGTAAAATACTCAGTATTTATGCGCTTGGTTACAAACGAGCACATTTTATTGGTGAGTAGGGCTCAGATGTAAGTGGTAAACGACTCACGTATTTGCGGACACTACAAACTAAACGATACTACAAATACCGTTATTGCTAACTACATTAGCTTTGGCTAGCCTCGTTTAACGGGATGTTCAGCTTCTGGAAAATAATGTCTTCCAGGCTAATATTTATCGAAAACACACGGTAACGACTAAATTATTCACCGACGTAAGTTGGGTGAGGCATTTAAAAGCTAAACGTTTACACTTTGATGGGTTAGTTCGCCATGTAGCTAGTTTAGGTTAAGAGTCGATGAGCAGGGCTGGATAGTGGAGTGTCGCTGCCCACCTGGACCACCACTCAGTCATTCGGACCCGGACTGCGATGTTTAGCCTGATGGCGAATTGTTGCAACTGGCTAAAACGCTGGCAGGAGCCTGCAAGGTAAGTTAGGTCACGATATGATGCCCCAAAATCAGTGCTTCACACTCCGAAATCACG